ATCTTCAAATTAATGTACAAACAACAAAGACAGTATATTTTTAATATTTGTTTAATGGCATCTTTTTTATGACTGAAGGCAAGTATCACTGATACCAATTCTACTGATGTCTCTATGATTTTTCCCCTAATATTTAACCATTTACTATAGCCATTCAACATTACAGTATAATTGAGAGCTATACATTTTAACATTCTTTTTTTTTTTTTTAACTTAGAAAATAGAAAAAACTTCTAATTTAAATAAACTTAAAACAATCTTCATATAAACCCATTATAATAAATGTCATATTTACCTGTGCCCTTCAGCAAGAAGGAAATATACAGAAATTGAAAAAAGTTATCAAGCACTAAATTCTAAATTAAATATTGATGAATCCTTAAAGTTACACGAGTTATTGATTTCCTCTTTTTTTCTTTTGTTCTTTGATTAACAGACATCACAGCAGCTGGGTTATTAGGTTACTTGGCTACTATTACTTTAAGAGCTGCCGCTGCTTAACGTGATGCGGATCTAATACATGCTCGTATAGTTTCATTTGCGCTTTAATATGAAATGATACATGCTACAGTGTGCGGTGCCGTATTTGTACGTGCAATTGAAGAGTGCGTGCTATGAGCACAGTATAAAGGCTGACAGGACAGGCCTGACAACATCTCATCTGACCGCAGTTCACTGATGTTCTACTGAAGCTCCTCGTCACCTGTACCGTTTCCGTGCTTGTTTGACTCGTGCCTGGTGCTGAGGTGAAGTGGAGCGCACATCTGAAAAGTCTCTTGTTTGATGTGCTCGTAAAGATGTTCTGCGTTTAAATAAACCCGATTCTTGTCAAGAAAAAAGAGACAGAGGCAGCAGCAGGGGCGGATTTAGTGAATTGGGGGCCTCAGGCAAAATATAGGAATGGAGCCCTATACATTTGCACACATTGTCCTAGATCAACCTTGAGGTTCCTTTTTTGTTGTGATGCTTGCTGCTGCACAATGGTTCCCCATAGTTGTGTCCAATGTTTCTACATTTTTCATATACATGTGTTATAATGGATTTCTTTCATGTTGTAGACCACGAAATAGCAACTGATTTACAGTTGAGATACAGGTTTTCACAAAAACAAAAGAAATTATAAAATGATAAACATCACAATTGAGCGTTTAAATCAAGGGTGAGTCAGAAGTATACATTATTATATTAATTTAAAACGGGGTAATGTGGGTGGATTTTCACATTGAACAAAATCTACAGACTGGATTATTGAAAATGAACATTCATTCTCTGCCAGTAGGAGGCGCTTTTGGAACGTCGGAAATATAGAATGAAAAAAGTGTGAAAAAATATAGCCTATATTGACAAGGAAAGTCCACTGATGAATTACCAGCATAAGCCTGTGTGAAAAGGCTGTCTAACTTCTCTAATACAAACTACTCTAAACTTCAAAATACAGTTATTTTTACAGTTATTTTAACTACAAATTTAAATAAAACTGAAAAAAATATGAAAAGGCAATTATACATTTACACACCTAAGGATTATGTCAACCAAAAAGTAACTGCGTAAGTGTCCTCTACTTGGTTCCTTCTCATAAATGAGTAAGCGGTATTTAAAACAATTATAAACATATAATACACACTGTTTCTCAATATTTAATTACAGCTTCAAATGCGTAATATTTTCATCTCCTTCAAGCAGGACACACAAAAAGCACGTTGAATTCAGACGGTTGTTGTGGTAATAAACACCGTAAACAGCAACCGTTCACGTGTCAGCACTTAATGCGCATCTCCTATAAGAAAAGCATTTTAGGGGGCCCTTGACTTTTGAGAGTCCAAGGCAGTCGCCTACCTTTGCCTAATGGGTAAGTCCGCCTCTGGGCAACAGTTGTGAGTGGGGTGACCAACCCTAACCCCGCTCCCGCATTAACGGCGTTAAATATTTTTAACGCTGTTAAACTGGAAAAATTAATAGCCTGCGTTAACACACTAATTTTGACAGCACTAGTAGTAATATTTAAAATATATATATCTTCACTTTGATATTTTTGTCTTTAGTCTTTGTATTTTGTCTTTTCTCCACAAGAAATGTACAATCTTCTGCATTCATTTTCTTGGGCACGTTCATTTGTTGAATGCTTTGCCCATATTCTATGAAAACACTCACTGCAATAAAACTGAATTGAACTGAGACTGACCGTGTGTGTGTGTATGTGAGTGCGTAATGGAGAAAACATCTAAGTGAACATGTGTGAAGTTGAGTGCTTGAATACAGCAATCAATATACTGTTAGCAACCAATCATCTACCTCTCTCTGTCTCTCGTGTTTTCTCTTGGCTTTTGGCTCTAATTGTTTTTTTAATAGCTTGTATGCTCTCAATGAGAAATCAGTTTTGTTTGGGTCAGTTTCATTGCTTATTTTCTTAAAACTGAACTTTTACAAACTGGTTGTGGAAGAAAATGTACAAGCATGCCTGTGCGAACATTTTCAACATGATGTAAGGATGCTGCATCCAAAGTTCCCAGAGTCCACCCCAAAGTCTCTATAATATTCTGTCCTCTAGATAAGACTCTTTTTACCATTTTATCATTCACCAGGAGTAAATAAGTTATGTTTAAACCTAATAACACATCTCTAGTCAACTGCAAAATAATTGCCAATATCATTCATGTACATAGAACAAACTAAAACTAAAGAAAGAACGCTAGAAAAAGTGACTCATCAAACACCACTAATGAATTAAAACTATTCATGGGTACTGAATGTCAGTACCCCTATTTTGAATTAGATTTTATTTTCATATTTTCTTTTTCATTTGAGTTTTAGTAAGAGTTTTAGTAACTTTTTTGTCATTTTTATTTATTTATTATTTTTAAATGTCTAAATAGTTTTTAGTACTTAAACTAAACGAAAATGAGAAATGTTGCCTTGACAACTAGCTGAAAATAAGTTTTATTGTTTATTAAATTTTAATGTTTATTTCCATTTTTTTAACGATTAATGATAAGAACCCTGTATGGTACCTTGATACTGCAGTGGGATGTCTATTTTGGGTCCGATCACGTAATGACCCTCCTCCAGGCTGTGGGCAGTGACGGTGGTCCACTGTCTGCAGGAGTGAAGTAAAATCACATCCTCCTCCGACAGACCCTCCACATTCTCACCTGCACACACACAAAAACACAATTACACAAATTAACTGATAAGCACGATAATTCATCATTTACAGGTTCAGCACTTTATTGGCCGACACTTGGCTTTTTTGAGATCACTGGCAATTACTTGTCTGATGTATTAAATGTTAAAAGGCATTTATTTAAAATATAAATATTTTGTAACATTATACACTACCGTTCAGAAGTTTGGGGTCAGTACATTTTTTCCTTTCTTTTTTTGAAAAAAATGAACACTTTTAATACTGTTAAAGGGGTCCTATTATGCTCTTTTACAAAGTCTTGATTTTGTTTTGGGGGTGTACTAGAACAGGCTCTCATACTAGGTTGTTCGAAAAACACTCGTTGCCTTCTCTAGTGCAGCTCAACCAGGTCTCGTCCCATTTGTCGATATTTGTGATATCACAAATCTAGGAAAATATGCGTTGTAGTCCAAACGAGTCGTTTGTTGTAGTTTTTGAAAAGTGATTTCTGTTAAATAAAATATCTCCTTTTGAAGTGAACTTTGAGCTTTGTAACTTTGCAGATCTTTTTATGCTCAAACAGTAACATTATAGACTAACTAAAGTTGAAAAAGTGAAAAAGCATAATAGGACCCCTTTAAATTGATAGAAAGTGATCATAGTAATGACTTACATTGTCAGAAAAGATTTACATTTTAAAAATATGCTGTTCTTTATAACTTTTTATTCATCAAAGAATCCTGAAAAAAGTATAACCGGTTCCAAAAAATATTTAGCAGCACAACTGTTTCCAACAATGAATATAAATCAGCATATTAGAATGATTTCTGAAGGATCATGTGACACTAAAGACTGGAGTAATGATGCTGAAAATTCAGTTTTTGCATCACAGAATTAAATTGCACTTTAAAGTGTATTAAAATAGAAAACCATTATTTTAAACTGTAAATATTTTTCAAAATATTACTGTTTTCCTGTATTTTTGATCAAATAAATGCAGCCTTGATGAGCAGAAGAGACTTCTTTAAAAAGCATTTAAAATCCTACTGATCCCAAACTAATCTCAACTGCTTGACTAAAAGGCATGAAGATATTAAAATATTATAAACATTAACATCATGATTTTCTGTTATACAAGGAAACAGTGTAATGTGAAACGTGTTATACAAGTACATTTGAACAGACACAACTTGTTCTCTAGATATCAGCCACTGGAAAACCCAAAACTACAAATGCATCTGACCTTGAAACTGACATAATTTGTCACTTTAAAACACACACACAGCCAAAGAGACAGTCAGTCTCGCTCACTCACACACATATCAGAGCTCAACCACAAACATCAAATGAGTTCTTTGAACGCACATACGGCTTATGGGAGAGAACTGAGGTCAGCTATCAGACACAAACAGCATCACCTCACAAACATCAGACTGATCTCTCTGCTGAAGAACGGATGAATGGACAGAGAGCGAGAGAGAGAGAGAGCGGTGGACTGTATTGATCTGGTATTAAAAGACTTCCTAATTGAGACGAGTCTCAAAACTGATGCTTTACACAGGGAACAAGTCCAGCACACACAGACACGTTCTCTGCAGATCGTCTGTTGTGTTTAATTACTGGTGTCTGTGCTGATACAGTGAGAAACTCCTACACACAAACACATCACAGCAGTGTCTAATCAAGCAGATGATCCGAAGGTTCAAAATCAGCATTGCATGGAGTTTTTTTCTTCAGTGATGCCATATTAGAACAGGTTCTTCATGGAACCATCAATGCCAATAAAGAACCTTTATTTTTAAGAGTGTACATTTATTATAATCTGTTGTCATTCTACCATATTTATACTTTATATTAGGGATGCACGATATTATCAGACCAATATATGAAAAATTATGCCAATATGTCTTGCCGATAAGAGGAATACATTAACTCACATGTGCTCAGGGTGTGCTAGCGATTAGATCATGTCAGCAGTGTGGCTCATTCTTGAAGCAAAGTTTTGCCTGAATGGTGATTAGATTCTCTGTTTTGGATCGCTGCATTTAAACTGAGAATGCACCTATGGTTGGGTGTGTGATAGAGTAAACAGTAATAGCACGTGCAGCGGCAGCAGCGGCAGCCTCCCCCGTCCTAATGCCGGCTCAGTAAGGAATTTTAATTCCGTAGGGGGCGCTGTTGGCCTATTTATAATAAAATGAAAGCAAAATACACAAATAATATTTAGACTGCGTTTCTGATTAAATAAAGCAGTATTTGATGCCATAAAAACATGAGTATGTTTTGATTTAAAGGTTAGAAGCTATAGCTTACATGAACAAACAAAAAGCTATTGACTTTTCAAATGCAGAGTTTTGCGCATTGTGTGTGTGTGAGAGAGAGAGAGACAGGGTCACATCTCAGTGGAGTCAGCTGTCTTAACCGTGGCTTGTGTACTGCACACATACCAGCTTCATCACTGCGTCTGTCACGCAACTCTGTTCCCTTTCGGGCTTGAACTGATGGTAAAACTAATGACATTATTTACTGTCTTTACATTTACTTTGATAGATGAAGCTCGCGATTATGGTAAGGGGCATTACATTTCCGACGATTGATTGTGGTGTTTGGCCAATCACAATGCACTGGGTCAGCTGGCCAATCAGAGCAGACTGCGCTTGTCGAAAGGAGGGACTTTGTGGAAAACGAAGCGTCTGAGAGAGGCGGGGCATAGAGGACCTACAATAATGTACAGCATTTGAAAAAGAATGTGTTTTTTGAACATTAAAGCATGTCAACATATTCTGTTACACCAAATACACAAAAACATTATCGTTAAAAAAGCATCATATGACCCCTTTAAAGTGGCAAACGACATTACGATAGAATAAAGTGAATGTTATTGTTTGTCGATATGGACACTAATAATATAGTTAGTTATAATTATTGTCAATGTTCTTTGAGTGATCAGGCATTATAAATATTTATACAGTACATGGACATTAAATAAGCAATAATCCATTACATCCAGGGTAAATTCATGTTTAATTTAACACAAATGCATAAGTCTTGTCACTGTCTCTGAAGTTCAGTCTTCTTTTAGATTCTTCATTACAAATAAGTTACAGAATGTTAAAAAAATAACAATTTTTATCATAATTATAAAAAAATAACCAAATCTATTGGAACTTTGTTTTCCCAATCATCTTTATGAGATTCTGAGACCATTTTTAAAGAGTTTAAATGAATGATAACAGAGTATGCAAACTATTTCCTTAAATACTCTTAGCACAGAATATGGAGTCTCACATACACAAAAAAGCCTGAGTCCCATTCAGAAGCTTTTTCCCACCACATACAGGAATGTGTCAACATTGATGGCAGTTGAATTCTGTCTTCTTCAGTTGTGATAGTTGAGTAAATGTTGGAGTTTCTCCTGCAGGAGGTTGTTTGGTATTCAACACACACTACAGCACATTACAACATTAACATATGAAAAGAGCTGCAGCTCTTTAACACACAACACACACTCTGTCACCTTTAGCCAAAAGACAAATCAGCTACACACTTCACTGAGGATTCTGTGTTACAAACATTGACACAACGTTTCATGAAAGTGTGCATCATTTTATACGATCCAAATTGGGATTAAATCAGCGTTTGTCAAACTATTTCAAGTGTTTCCAGACTTCATTTGCATAATCAGACTCTAAAGTTCATTAATAAGCCAAGAAATGTGATGTTTCTTATCCCGCTAACGTTGACTCGGCAAGAAGCGGAAGAATCTTTTGCGCAACAACGTCAAACAAACCGATCCTAATGAGTTCAGATTCGTCGCGCCTCCGTTTATAGACGCGTTCAATAACTCTGACGGTCTCTTACCGTGGCTCAGCCGCACGAGTGTCGGTAAGCGGAATTTGCTCACGATCACATCCAGCGGCAGCGACACGGAGCTCCACGAGAGTCCGTTAATGCTCGCGGATAGTTTCTCCATCTTTCATCCGTCACCATCATCATCATCATCCCGTGCATCACGGGAACGGAACGGAACGGGTGTCCGGAGCGCAACGCGCCATGATGAAGAGAAACGCGTGAGAGAAACTCCGAAGTGATGTGATCTAAACCGGACCCACCGAGACGCGCGACGCCCACCCTTCCCCTCCCGCGACGCGCGCACCGGAACACCGGACTGACAGCGCGCTCGCTAGAGATCCCCGGTACCGGAGATTCATCACATCAAAGTGCCAACGGGATGTGTTAATAAACTTGAATAGATCTCACAAAACACAACGTTTGATTTGTGTGATTATTAATTAACTTCCTGATACAAGGTTAAAGACCGTGGGAACCTTCATTCAGGGGCCTATGCCAATTAAAGTTAGCTAAAGACTTTTGGGGGGTGAGCGACGATGTTGACCTAATAGCATTTGCGACAGTGACCTTAGTTATATCCCCAAGAGAACCAGAACAAAAAGCGTTTTTTCATGTCAATGTTCCATGTTCAAATGGAAAAAATTATATTTTATTCATATGTTATGCTATGTGCTCTGTAGAGGACACCAGGACATACGTTTTTCTAAAAATAAAATGACATGAATAGACACGAGAAGGCAAAAACAATGGGATTTTTGTTTTGTTTTTAGGTTTTAGGATTTTTCTATACCAAACTTTGTGTAAGGATGTTTCTCAGTTATGATAGAAGATATAACAAAATGATTTTGCATGAACTTTTCCATGACATTCTAATTTATTGAGATGCACCTGTATGTGTGTAAAATTGGTTTTCTCATTAAACACAATGTTAACTATACACTGTATCTAATTTGCATATGCTGTTGGGACAGCATGTTGAAAAAAAGAAGTGTAATAATGGGAGTAGTAATTAGCCAGATTTTCATAATACTATCTTGTTTCATAAGAATATTTGTTTTCCAATTCAATTGGTTTGTCTCCCAAAATGCATAATAAACATGCATTTAGTCCCGGTGTCCTCAACAGTGGACATGTATAAAATAATGTCCCGTTTCATAACAGGAAGTCAAATTTTGATTTGAAACCCCATAACATTTTCCTGAGATATTAATTTATGACAAACAATTTGAAAATTAATCAGATATAATCATATTTCCATAAGAATGTGCAATTTTATCACTAAATTAATGTCAGCCATAGACCAAAGCCCTGGGTCTCAGGAGAATATAACAACGAGAATATCTTCTGCTATCTGCTAAACGTATTCAGTGGTGGGCAAAATTATTAAAACACTAGCATTTTCAGCAGCTAAAAAAAATAGGTTTAAGTCAGTTATTTCTATTTTTTACTGTAGTGTGTCAGTAGGAAATATCAGTTTACATTTCCAAACATTCATTTTGCCATTAATTGACACAGTAGCAAACCCAAAAGAGTGTCAGGTGTTAATTTGCACTTTAACATTCAAAGTCTACTAAGTGGCATACTTAACGTGATGTACTGAAAAGTAGCTAAATAAACCAGCAGACAATGCATTTATGGAACAGAATGTTATTTTAACAACATAAATGATTAAACACAGCAGCAAGTCATCTGTACATTTAAAACAACAACTCTTAATCTATAACTAGGTTGCTGAGGCATAATGATATTGGAATATAGCAAAGACCCCAAAGGTAGGCCAATGTTAAGCTGTTATCAGTAGCAATTTTATGAAACAGAAGCTTAATTTATTATATACCCAGGAAAGTTATTTTTACACAGAAGACAAAAACTTTAATCTAAAACTAGCTAAGTAAAATGTTATATTATAGAGAAATTAACTCATGTCCACATATTTGATCATCTGAATAGGCTATATCATATTGTTTATGATTGGTATAGTTAACAAGTTTGTGGATATTTTGAAAAAATAAAGGAAATACTAAATGTGATACAATAAAAAAACTAAAAGTGATACACCTGTCATACAGCGCTACTATGGAAATAATAAAAAAAATATATATATATAATATTTCATATTGCGTTTTTGTATATTACATACTATATCACAAAAATAAAAATAAAGCAAGCTGTCATTTCATGTACTCTTGTGGGCCGCTTAGTTAACTGGCTCTGTATAGCCTACATACGTTTAATTGGTTTATCAAAATTATTGCTAAGTATAAAAAAAAAATCATTACACTACATTAAAGAATGACCCTTTACAGCTTGTTTTCAAAGTATAACACAATCTGAGCTATTTAATTAAATGAGATATTGCTGAACACTACTGCTTTATTTTTTTTATATATATATATATATTGATATATATATTTTTGACAAGCCAGCAGAGGAAGACAGCGAGACACTGCAGAGATTCCATTCACACTGAAACTGTAACACAGTGTTAGATGGATGAAGCTACTCATTGCTCTATAGTATTTTTTTTAACTAATATTATTCTGTAAAATTTTCTAATAGAACAGGTAAACAAAACAAAAAAGAGCTAAAATGTTCTGAACATCTTACTGAACAACACACAAAACATATTCATGTTCAAATGTGTTTTATTGTACTAGGTTATTTTGTTTGCTTTTCCCTTCCAAGATAAAACAATCTGCATAAATGTGGAGGTAGAAACAGATTTCTGTCGAGAGATACAGCTCATTCACACACACTTACAAACACTGTAAGGGTGAATCTCATGTTAACAAACATGCCCTTCTTATATTTTAACTCCAATCAAAAGAAATGATATGTGATGTTATTTTCATGACAATTAAGTACATTCTTCCTCTCCAGTTCTCAATACTGTATGCAAAAACTCATTTATTACATGACATTATTCTAGAGGATTTATATAATTTATGCTGATTTAAATTTAAAAATGTATTTTATTATCATGTTTAGTAATCAGAATCACTTCTGAGATTAATGGGAAGCATGTCCAGACAAAATCCATAACACTTGACTATTTCAAATGTGCTTAACTACAATTAAAAATAGTGTAATAATACATAAAAATCCTAAAAAAAGAAAAAAAAAAAAAAAAAAAAAAAAAAATTTTTTTTTTTTGGGGAAAAAGTTGACCGACACTGGGTAT